TTAGTAATAGGAGCTAATGACCCCATTGCTTACTATCTATACATATGTGTGGATAATATAATAAAGAACACTTATTATCTCATTGCATTTTCCATTAATTTTGGGTACTCTTTATTACGGAAATAGCCAATTGAAATGGGGTAACAGGTTTGCGGGAGTAAAGCCACAAGAAACAACAACAAGTAGTAGGTACTTATTTTACATCCTATAAAGCCTTAAAATTGAGGTCGTCAAGTGACATTATGGGGTATTCTGCATTGGGTGTGGTTCACCTTCACTCAACTTTTATACTCATGTAAAATAAAGGAGAATAATGGTTGAAAAAAAAGAAAAGATAAATTTTAAAACCATGGCTTGTTTTTGCGAACAAACCACAACAAAAATAAAACTTTCATTATTTATTTATAGCAACCCACATGTTAGGGTGTGACTGTAGGCTAACCATCCTTCTTTGACCGTATCTTTCTTACTAAAGGCGAAAGTGATGTGCAAATCTCAAGAATACATGTAATTCCATTTCTAGAGTCGCTGATAAATAAAAATAGTTTCAGTTTCTTCATACAGTTTCATTCCAGTTCATAAGTTTTGGGAAGCAATCTACATCTTTTTTTTTATTTGATGTCAAATTATTTCATTATCCCCAGTGTCTACTTAAAGCCTTGTATAATGTTGGTACGACATTGCCTGCCTTGTTACCGTCGATATCCAATAAGGGAAAGAAAACTTGAAATAAATCCCAAAATATACCAAGCTGCCTGTCAATATAGAGATATCGGACTATAATCGTCATTCCCATATCGTAGAGATAGTGGTCAGAAATTCTGTTTTTATCTCCTTAGTATGTTGAAACTAACTAACATGGAAAATATAAATGCGTTGTTATTATAGAGTACCTACTTTAAAAAAATACTTTTAATAAAAAATGGTTGAAAGGTGAGGGAAGAATAACAGTTTAGTAACTAAAATAAAGTATTGGTTACAAGAAATTGCATATTTGCTAAGATATATTCAATTGATACCTATTAAACCACAATATACCTTCCTAAATACAGTAACAATAGAAGTATTGCATCGATACCTATATATTTTAATTAATAAATAACTATTGCAATACTTACATACCTACCGATGCAGCGATCAAAAATATAATGCAAGAACCTTTAGTTGATGTGGTCGATGACCGAAACCGGTTATTAGGAATGCAAGTGTCTATGCAAGTTGTATCTGAGTGACCGTCATTGATAAATTAGAACTTCTTAAATGTAATTAGTATACAAATATTATTTAAAGATTATTAGACCTACTTTAAAGATTTCTTCAAAATTATATATTTATATTTATAGTGGTACCTTTACGTACAAAGTTGACAGATATAATAATTAGATAACAATTACATTATAGAATGGTATTTCGTGATGTTTTACATAGTAAAAAATGAATGTATCCATCCAATAGCAATTGTTTTTCAATTATTCCGATATAAAGATTTATAGTACGGCGTGCTCTATACATAGATAGAACTAAATTATTATTTCTTTTGACTCCTTATCCATGCAATGAATTTCATTCAATTTATATGTACCTATAATGTATTCAAATAGTCACACTAGCTTCACTACCACAATATACGGATATTAATTTTGTATACTTTTATATTGTAATACAAAAATATTAATAAAATTTCATTGAATACTAATTTATACTTTGCTAATCACGCACAGTGTTATAAACGGTATAATGAATTATATACATATTGATAGTTTTTTTAAAACATTATACTTTGATGATAATTATTTAACTAATCCAAAGGTTGTACTCTGTAATAATCAGACAAACATACCGAGGTTAGTATCACCTAATGCTTTTTTTAAATCTTCCGTTTCACCTTGATGCCACAGTAAAGAAACCATTAGTATGCTACTCATGTTTTAATGTTACTTCCAACATGATTGCGTTCAGTATCTCGACATCTGCAACTACCATTTGGCCGTTAGTGAAGTTAAAGACGTGCTGGTACTCTACAATGGTCATATTTATTACTTGACCACGAGTGTTTATATTTTTGAGACGATCTTGGCTGTTTATCAACTGTGTGTGAAAATACGTCGGTACCTAAATTCTTAGTTTACGTTTTATATGCATGTTTATTATTTGATGTCTTTCCTAAAAATATAGTTAGTTCTCTAATATTAATTCTATCGATTAAAAACAACATTAGGATAGTTACTTTTGTCAGGATATACTATAATTGAGTTTATTTTTATAGAATTATTTCTCTTTTTATATTCAATTTTATTTTTACTTATAATATTCTATAACGAACTTTATTACAAAGTCGCATACATTTCGACATGGCGGTCAAACCGATTGTGAATCTGTGGTGCATTTCACAACTTTATACAATTATAACACGATTACATTATAATTATGTCACGTCGCGTCTTTATTGCCTTATTAAAGTGCTTAGAGATACGCCGACCACTAGAGTTAAATTATGAATTAAATTAAGTAATATTTAATATATCATGAACGGCTATACAAGAGATTAGCTACTGTAACACTGACAGTATATTTTTTTATCGAACTAGTCTAATAATGCCTTTACACAGCACGAAAATAGGAGTTCCTTGGAGTGCAGAGGGCACTGCAAATCAACGGAAGGACATATTATATGGCTGAAGAACAACTTCTGTCTGTAAACACCGCTAGGCGTGAGAATCTTGACTCAGGTCTTCGTAATTTTGAAATAGGATATAAGTGCATCAATTGCACTTATTGTGGTATTTACTAAAACGCCAAAACTAAAAATAACTAAACGACCGAACGACAGAATAAGGATGTGTCGCGCAACTTTCTTTTGCAAGATACGTTAGAGTATGGGACGATCGTACTTTCTGGTGCCTGCATGCATGTGAATGCACTGAATACTTTTAGACAAACTTTTCTGCCGTCAATTGAAGAATGTTGATTAATTTATGTAATTTGTTGTAACTTAACCAGAGTAAAACAAAACTAAAACCTAAACCTTTACTTTCGACAGTTTACTGTTGTTGGAAAGTGGCGTATTAGCACTCCGATTAATTACGAACGAAGTGGTGGGTAAAAACATTGAACTACTGAATAAAACCTACTGTAATCGTGACGAAACGGAACCAACGTAAAATAATTAAATTTCATTTAAAAATTGGGAATTGGCGAGCCTTTTTTTAATTTGGGTAAATACTTACGAACCTTAAAAAAGGTGAAACTTTGACAAATTTATTCACGCAAACACAATTTTGGCCTTCTTTTTATTATTGTAACTCTTTAGCAAAAGTTTTATTTTATTATTAGGTTTTTTCTGGTTGTCATGATGCATAATTTATATGTCTGAGGTCATTACCATGTCGGTAACCACAGAAGTTCGAGGATATACATAGTTTTTTTCTGACATTGGCGGTTTATCTAGATGGAAAATGGTAAACGTCGCCTATACAATTCAGCAGCACAGCACCACAGTAAAATATTTTTAATTACCCGCGGAATTGGAATTTAAAGCAAATCTAGATGTGATATGGTAATTTAAATCCGGTGGTGGTGGTGGTAACATAGTCAAAGTCATAAGTCAAATATTTTGTGATGTCCACAGTAAAATATATTAAATATATTAATATATTTTTTACATCTGACAGTTTTTTAAGTCAGACAGGCGACTGGATCAACAGTTTACTAGAACTGAAATATTTTGTAAAGAGAGGGAGAAGGTTTTGTTATGAGGTAAGTAAATCGGATATACTGCAACAATTTGAGAAGTTATTTTACTGTACAATAACATATACAAAACATAATAAACAAAGTTATATAGTTTATACCTATAGTACGGACGGACTTACTCAGGGCGGGCCACTTTAACACGTTTTGGATAACTCAACATTATTCTATATGTACAACTAATACAATAACGCTAACATCATACTGACAGAATGTATCCTCAAAAGTATGTTTTCATAATCGGCCATAAGAAAGTCTCCATAGCATCTTGTGAATAATTCTGAATGATATAACATTACCAAGTATTTTGAAGTTTATGAAAGTGTTGATGGATTTTTGTTTTGTTATATCTTTTATGCTACTTCAAAATGAAAAATATCAATACCTAATTCATATTGTAATGAATTATATGCTCTTTATACAGTATTATTAGTACCTAAATAAATTAAACCAATATTTTCTTTACATAGTAGAGTAAAAACGTATACAGAATAGGTTCACGAATCTAATGTAGTATACACTCGTTCATTAGTCGGCTTAATCAATACAATATTATCTAGAAATATTTTATAATATACAACCGTCCTATATATAATCATAAAAGAAATCGATTCCATTAATTAACGGTAACTTGTAGAATATGACTCGTCAGGTGGTAGAATTGATTGCCTCAGCTACAGTAACAGCTTTCTCTTAATTGTTCTCTGTACGAAACACGTGGTTTCATTTCACTAATGCATCATATAGGTTAGCAAGCATTATGTAATTAACATGACTATTCATTTAGGGGTAGGCAGAGATAGCTACGTGGTTCTACCCCGTCGATATGTCGTCTAAGCGTCACTTTAGATTTAAATCAGTAGTTATTTGCGTAAAGTTTCCACTAACATAAATAAATTTATTTAAAAAGGTGACTGTATATTTATAACTTTACATGAAAATGGGACTAGTTCATTTACTATCAGATGATCCATTTACTATAAAATACATGCTTGCCTTTCCAGTCAATTAAGCCAACTATATCTATGGTTAATTTTTGTTATATATTATTCTTATAACATATTTTAATTTGCGATTCTTCGCTAATATAAAATAACATTTTTTGACAAAAATAACATTTTTTGTCAAAAATTGGGAGCTTGTTAAGAAATTATATACCTACCTAATATAATTTTCATATTTTTAACAGAATCTGTGTAATTATTATTCTTTCGTTATTCATTTAGTAACTGTTCATTAATTTGTTACAGATAATGGCTACTCCCACGGAATTACCCTCAGAGAGAGTGAAACAAATGTTCAGTTGGACTACGGGGTGAGTAATGTTTACGCATTTTTACGCAACATATTTACTATTTTGATATTAGATGTTACATTGGAGCACATAATCTATTATCACTAGTGAACAGTACATAATAAAAGCAAACACATCTTGACGAACTCATTCAATGTTTTGGTGTGATTATGTAGATATTCTTTGATTGAACATCAATATGGGTATGAAAGTCAAATACCAAATTTCTAAATTACTTTAGTAACTAGCTGCGGTCAACAGCATTAGAGTAGGTAGCCCTAAAAAACCAAAATCATTTCAATTTTAGCACAGTACTTAATTTTAAAACATATTATTGTTTCAACAATTTTTTTATTGTTAATATTGGCTTTAGAAGTACTTTGTACATCTAAAATTTGATGGAAAATTGCATGTTAGTAGATAATCTAGTTATAATATAAGATACAGTCAGTGATTTTAGTATTAATTTAATTAAATAGAATTTGTTGTATCTACGTATATATTTCTATTCCCATTAAATAATAAATTATTTTGTGTAATTTATGTTTAGAAAATCAACATCTCAGATACTATCAAGTTTCAATTATTTATACAAATTATATGTACTTATATTGTTGTATGTTATTAAATAAATATCAATTACCATAAGTAGTATTTACCACATTCAGAGCCAGATATGTCTACCTACTTATATTATGACGAGATAAATAAACGAAGACAAGTTACAGCCTCACATAACTTCCTTCGAATGATGCAAGTGTTATGAGATGCCGATCTATCCAATGATGCAAGAGCTACTTTCGCGTGTAGACAAGAGGTCGATGAGCAGGCCCAGTAACCTGAATGTTAAATAATTTATACGCAAATGTAAACTTTACGTTCATAACTAAACTTAATAAAACTTATTCATTTTTAAGCAAATACATGCACTTATTCCTTTTAGTATATAGTTAAATACAGGTAACGCCATCTATATTTTTATTACCTTACTTTTAACGCCATCTTTTGAACATGTATTGAACTATAAACCTACTGACGCTAGCCTACGTTGTTCAACATCGCCACTAGGTGACCGTAGTTGACATTAAACAAATATACAAAGTGCTTTCTCCGGTTGATCTGTGCTGTCGAAATGTTTGTGACAATTCCATAAACTAGAGCAGAATAGTTACATTTGTGAACTAAGAGTGATTAAAGTATCATTTACATTAAAAGTAGTTCCTTAAAGGAAATCCGTTTGCCCAAATCTTTTAACGATTCTTCCCGTAAGACACTATCAGCTTACTTGTAATGCAAGTAAGTATAGTTTTATTCGTTAACTCAATCAGGTGAGAAATGATGGACCACTTAGTATCTTGTGCTTTGAAATAGCGTACTACCAAAGCAGTGTATATGATGATGTTGGTATTGGTATCACGACTGTCTCTGCTTTCTGTTAAGTACACCATCAACAGCTATATTAGTATTACAAGATATATTTGCTCGAGTTCTATCTTTGTTCTTCTAGAAATCCTTTCAATAGATAAATTATTATGTCTTTTAATCATCTTTTATGATGAGTTATCGATCAAAGTACGCCATTAAATTATATTGTAATAGTTTTATGATAACTATTTATTGTAATTACCTGCTGTAATTGTCTGTCACAACACCAATGACCTTAGTGGAACTGGATTTATACAGGGCGGAAATAAGAAATACATTATCATATATATTACGTTTGTTTTAATATTATTTATTAAAGTTAGAAGTTTCACGTGCTTTGTAATACAAAGTGTGTAACATACGCCTCACCTGATAGCCAATGTCCACCCTATTCCATAAATACTTGTAACATTAGAGTTGTGACATAACCACGAGGATTCATGCACCGTTTAAATTTAGAAGAAATAAATTAAAAAAAAATTATAGCCTCTCTTGTTCTTCTATTTAGCGTTGGTTCTGATTTTTTTCTCTTTACTTGGTTACAATGGGTCATAGCTGGATATGACCGTTTATAAACATTTTCTAGAACTTGGACTATCAAATGCAGTAGGTATGTTTTTTTCTATTTGACTTATGGTTAGAGAGATTAGTGTGTTCCATTGCAACAAACAAGCTCATCAACTTTATTGTACACTGCATTATATTAAGTGGACCTTCAAACTTGAATTCGATTGACGCCAATATAAACAGATTACTTCCATGGCACATCATGGAAGTAAACAGTTATATTGTTATACAGCATGAGTACGCATGCAGCATGTCATTGTGTCATGTTAGTCCTAGACGACAGAATTAATAAGAGTAACTTTACGCAATTTCCCTTTTATATCCAAATTGTGGCGTAATATCCTATTTTTGATATAGTTAATAGATATAGAAATAATCTTTATTCAAATAAACTTAATATAACACTTTTTAATATTCATATTTTTTGGTGAAAAATGATAAACTGTCAAATGATATAAAAATGTTAGACATAGATTTGGTTTTATATCGATGTAAAGTCAGCCAATTAAAAAAACTTACAGTCCCTAAATAATAAGTACTTACTTACCTCTGCTTCGTCTGCATAAGCGTATGACGTAAGCTTAAAAGATACATATTTATGTAATAATTTAAATATTTATATATAACATAGAAACACGAGAAAAATAGTTAAGATGTATAATTCTTGTGACTCACTAGGGAAATACTTCAGTTTTATCTCTTTTAAGGTAAACGAATAATGTATATATTATTATTTCTGACACTGAATACAGAAAAGACGCCAAGCAGACATAATAGAAGTTCTATGAGTAGTAATATTATAAATATGTGATTTTCAAACATTATCTTAAATATATTAATTCCTTTATTTCTAAAGGTTATAACATATATATTATCTATGTAACTATTAAACTGAGTTCTCCTTATCTTTCTTTCTTTTCATTATCTAAAATTGTGGTAATATGTCAAAACTGTTACAACACTAATTTCAGTTTCTATGAATGAAAATATGGTAATAAAAGACATGAAACCAAAATAACTGATGTAGATTATATGATTTGCCCTCATATATATGTATCCATAAATGTCTAGTAACTTTTTCTTTGTATTTTGGACAGTATTTTAGTTAGACCAGATAAAACAGTCGAATGAAAGTTGTCGGTGCCCAAGAAATCGTAGTCATGTCAAGGTGATTATGCTTACCGACGCGATTAGATCGTTTCTTAACAAATTATAATTAATACATGGCACGCAATACTTAGCAAATGACGGTACTGTATTAACATCTTTATTGGCTGTACCCACCTACTTTGTTTACACATATTAAAAGTGCGAGAAAACTTGAAATCATATTACTGTGATTCAGTATTGGTCATTCACTAGGTTAGTTATAAAATTTATTAGTCTGCTTATTACTGTCTATAAAATTGCATAGTATTAATATGCCAATGACTCGTAGGTAAAATACAGGATGATGTACCGGTATTATGTTTCATAACACTTCGTATAATCTCTGTCCTACCAGGAATTTTTCGCTAAACAGTTTACTTTGTCATTTGTAAGATGTGTTCCGGCGCGGCGGCGATTTGACGATGCAGATTTATGAGTGTTGCCGGATGTAGACGCATAATACCGCAGTCCTCAGAAATGGCAATCATGTGGGGTAAAACGCGCGTCACAGTGTATTTCGTAATATCACAGATAATATAATATTACATAGTAATATCGATAGCACTGGTTGTCTACAGGCATGAGAGTATATGTATGCAATATATTCCTACTGAATGACTTGTCCAGAAGTTAAAATAGTTTATTTCAAACTCCTTCCAGTTGCTACTAAAATATTATTTATGGTGCTGTTAAGCCTTTAAATTTATTTAGACTTATATTGCTTATCAATGCTGAACGTCCAACTGAAAGAAAGTTATTACTATGTCAGATGTTATATATACATTGTGGTGGGTATCCATTTTTTTTGTCGAGCACCTTGCTTTATAAGCTGTGTTTACGAGTTGAAGAGTTAGTTATGGATGTACAGGGTCTCAAGACATGATACATCAGTTCTAAGAAATGTCAATACAGAGGATACCCACGTGCACCACGGATGTAATATAACAAAGTCGAGTCAATATCTTTCATATGGTCGGTACGGTAGCTGTATCAGGTGGGCTAACAGGTTGTTTGCAATTCCGGTTGTAGAAAAATATATAAAAAGCTCCATGGGCGTATTTAAATACACTATGAGCTTCGATATTTTTTTATATGTTATTGGAATGATAATCTAGCTGATGGAACACTTGATAGTAGGTAGTATCCTCGCCAATATACCTATATGAAATTACGAATTCCGGAAGACTAACTTTTTATGCTTGTGTCCTGTAATCAGTCGTATTTCGGTATAATAATCTATATAATGTCGCAAGTAGGTATAGTTTCATTAATATAGGAAAATTATTGATTGTTTGTCATTTGTTAATATGAATTTTACTTGCACTAATTATGTAATCAGTCATTTTGAAGTGTCTTGTGAAGTATGTGACGTGAGTGGATTTTCCTTATACTTTCCAATCGTAAAATAACTTTGTACGACCATGTAAATTATCTTGATGATCTTGGTTTGGTACAGCATTTATTTCCCCTTCGTTAAGTATTATTTTCCTTCTTTTGGCAACGTAGAGGACAAAAAATGGAATCGCAGCCATATATAATTATTTGTGATATTTTCAACCATGATGTGACTGATTCATCGGAAAAATATAATTGAAAATCAAAAAGTCAAATTATCGATAAATTAGGTTACACAACTTTAAGCAAGACTGTGCAGCATTATTTTAACCATTAACTATGAAGATTAAGTTAAATTGTGTTGCTACAATACAATTAAAAACAAGATACAATTTTTATTCAATTTAATTTTATAATTTATATTTTTATTATTATATATTATGATTATATTATTAGGTATATCAATGTGTAAAGAAGACAATGTTATTGCTACAAAAAATCCCTACGCGTAAAACCGAAGCGCTTGTCTCACGAACTCATTATAA